GTGACTCCACCGTACACACCACCATCGCAGCACACACCCCCACCCCAGGCACCCACCTCCCAGCCGGAGTTTCCACCTCCGCAGCCGCCACCCCTGCCCACGGCCGAACCCGTCACTCCACCACCATCGACCTTCCAACACAGCCCACCGCCACCACCCACCACACGTGGCACCACAGCGCCTGCCCCACCGCCCCCACACATCCCATCTCCCACACCACCTGTTCCCGACTCCTGGAACCCAACCGAGCAACATTGGGACTCCAACACCCTGCACGGCCACCAACTACATCGTACAATTCAACCCACCCAGTGGTCTCGCAAAGCAGGAGTGGCCGGCCTCCCCACCTTTGAGGTCTTCCCGTGGCAATTGGCTTACCACGGTACCTCCGAGTTCACCGCCCGTACCCTGAGCAACGGCAAATTCACAGGTTTCATTGCCACCAGAAGCATAGCGGAGTCGGTCTTCGTGACCCTTTTTCTCCAACAACTCCGCGAGAACCGCCTTGACCTTGACGGCATAGCGGAGGCTCTCCACACACAACAGAGCACAGACGTTCCAAACAAAACTACCCATGCCCGAGCGTTCCACGCTCCCCTCATCAAACTGCTTATCGACCAACTGCAAACCCACTCCCCAGCACCTGCGGAAGGCTCCGCCCTACGCGCCCTCAAAAACACCAACGACGAACTGGCTCGTGCACGTCAGAAACTCCACGACCTAGGCAACCCGCTCACACCAGTCAAGAACACCAGCCGATCTTCTGCACCAGCCGCCCCTTCCCACGCACCCACGCCACCACCACCGAAACCACCAGCCATCACCGACGTCTTGCAACCACCACACCCCACGCTGCAAGACGACATCCCCGAAGGCTGGAACCATCCAGATATCCAACAATGGGTCACTACCTTTGACCCCGCCATCCAAGAAGCTGCGAAGGAAGTCATCCGACTGCTGCAAACAAGCAAAGTCACCACGCAGCAGCTAAAAGAAGCAGCCACCAAGTATGGCCTCCCCCTTAACCGGGTCAACAGACTCCCCATTCGCAGCCTACAACAGCTGGTGGGAGTCGGCGCAGCCATCGGTTGCTGACTCGCCATCTTGGCCCAGCAGCAACCCAGCCACACCAACCTCACCCAACTCTTCCACCTGCACCGAGCACTTTCCATCCTCATTCACCGCACCCAATACATCGACCGCGCCGAGGCCATCTTTGCAACCGGCCTCATCCACATCACACTTCTTTTCGCATACCCCTCCAACACCCGTCGCTCACAACAGTGGCGCAACCGCCTCCGCCAGCTCCACATTTTACCCCACACCTACCACTACCACAACTTCCTCTCTTCCAATTCCGTCTACATCAAGCTCCACTTCAATCCCGACCAACCCCAACGCTGCTACCATCAACATGGCCACTTCTACGTTGGCTCCACAGCTATCGGCATCCCCCACCGCGAGCACAATCGCCGCGCCAAACTCAAACAACTCCAAAACAACATTCCCATTTCTGCAGAACTCTCCTTACGTTATTGGCATTCACACAACAACATCCACCACTACACCACTATTCAACTCACCTCCCATGACACATACGACCAAGCCTGGATCCAAGAGCACCACTACATCGCCAACTGGATGCCTTCACTCAACTGGCCTTTCATTTCCCACCACCTTAAACTCAAAGCTCAGGGATGGCAGTTCGCGAAACACAGAGCCCACTTCTACTCCAGACTAGCCACCCACAAACGACTTTTCCGACGCCTTCGACAACGCCAGTGCACCCTCAGAGAACCACACCTCTACACTTCCACTAAGCATCACGCCCTCCAACTTCTTCGCAACCTTACCAAACACACCGCAGCCTCTTTTGAGGCAGCAAAACAGATAAGAAGCGGCCGCCACACGGACCTCGAGGTGTATGCAATCCGGCGTATGGCCGCAAATTTGGAAGAACCTGGCCGCAGCCGAGCTCTTCACATCCTCAACAAAGCCTTGATCTACCGCAACCTCACGCCACCTAAGCCAAACATCCCACTGACAGTGCCCTTCTTGGCCCATGACGACTTCACCAAGCACTGCCAACAATGGCTTCGTACCACCATCCAGCAGCACAAGCATTTCACCATTCCCCTCCACCTCCCCTCCCACAGACTGAGGGAAGCCGCCCACAAAACCCTCCGCTCCCACCTGCACAACCACCGCACATGGGAGGACACCCTCCACTCCCCGCCAGATCCAGCAGACCTCCCCTGTGCATGCGATCACCTTCGCACACTCCTGCAGGATCCCGATACCCCTACCATCAATGGCCACTACATCCTTACACTTGACCAACTCCAACTCCCTACACACCTCAGCATTTTCCTCAACGCCAATATGAACAGCACCTATTACCCAAGCAAAGCTCGGTACTTCCTCATTTTCAAGACGGCCTATACCAAATGGCTCAAACTACAAGGGCTTCCACCATCCCTAGTTCAACACCTACAGCCTTTCCTTGAGCACCAGTGGCGCCTTCACAACACACACCTCAAGCAGCAACCCCGTTTTACGGCCCGCCTGCTTCGTCAACTCCAAGAACATTTGGGTAAACACACATTACTCCACCACGCCGATCATGAGCTCCAACAACTGCGACTGTTTTGCCCTCGCCAATACTTCACTGGCGCCTTCAACACCTGGCAATCCCCTGAACTATTTGAACCACTTCCCTACATCACTGTCGCCAACATCCATGACCACCTAGCCGCCACCGTCCCCCCCATCCTGCGCACCCGCTACAAGTGGGGCTTCCGAAAAGACTTCAACATCCCCTACGGTGTTGTCCACCTTAAAGAGAAGAAGCACTGGCAAAAAGGCCGTACAATTATATCCTACTTACAATCACTCAGCGGCAACTTGCTACGCATCACCAGCCGTGCCCTCGACATTATCCTCCAGCACCTCTACCCTCAGCATCCAGGCCAAATGTCCATTCCACAGCTTTGGCACCACTTTCACAGCTACCTCACCCAAACCCCACCCGACATCTCACTACACGCCACCAATGATGACCTGGTCGGCTTTTTCAACTCCGTCCCCCAGCACCGACTCATCGATGCAGTCCACTCCCTTGTTCTCCACTGGCAACAACAGCAATCCACACACACCTTAACGGTGGATGTCCAGGCCACCGGCAATCCGTTCCACCACTCCCACATTGGCAGACACCATCGAAAACACCCTACCCAACGCACCATCCAGACTTCCGACATCACCACCATTGTGGCTTTTGCCCTCGACACATGCATTTTCCGGGCCTGCAACAACACTTACAAACAAATCCGAGGGGCCGGGATTGGATCCCAGCTCTCTCCAGCCCTATGCAATGTTGCCATCACCCTCATTGAGCATTCATGGCATCAGATCCACAACAACCTCCTTCAACACACAGACCTCCACTTTACTTACTATCGGTATGTCGACAACCGTTTCATTGTCCACAACGAACATTTCCTCCAACACCCGGCTATCCAAACCCTCATCCACCACAATTTCTTTGGCGACCCTGTGGAACTTGAACCGGTGGAGGATTTTCATCTCCTCGGTTTCAACATCGACCTCCCACAACGCACTATCACCTACATGCAACCTTCTCAACCCTGGAAAATCCGGGACTCCACAACCGCCGGGAGCCAGCGCTTGGCTCTATCAGGCCTCCAATCACGACTTCACACCATTCTAAAATACACATTTCCACCCTCCAGCGCTGACGTTGCTGCGGCTGAACTCGTGAACCTACATGTCCAAAAGGGGCATAACTACCACGCTTGCCACCGGTTTTTGAAAAAAGCGCCGAATGCGGCGACCTGTGTGTGTCCCACCTGGACAAAGGGTCTTACACCACCACTCTTCCCATTTTACACAGGCAGGGGCGTGTGGCACTCTCGCCCTACCACACGCAACGAAGCTGTGGGCGGGAGTGGGAAGCGGGGCCTGATCAGCCCTGCGTACCTGCTCATTTCTCCACAAGCTGTTACTCCAATTTTCCTTTTTTTGATTCATGGTCGTTTGCATGATACCTCCCACAAACCTACTCGTCCCCAGCAGCTGCGCCGCCGATTTGATCGCTGCCACCTTTGTGACAACAATGTTAAACCTTTCAAATGCTCGGACCCATGCACCTTGCCGTTCCATCGCCTTCCTTCCCATTGAGACAATTGCGTTAACTGAAAACCCAAGTTCGAAGTGTGTGTGTGACAGGCGGGATGAACCAAACCTTACACCCCCCTATCAGGCTTCCACACATGCGAAAAAAGCAGGTTTTTGCTCCTGGAGACTTTGGGGGTTCGAGTTCGACATCATGGCATATCATCTTAACGCTAACACTCTACATTGAAACATATTGAAACCATGAAACAGCGCAAAAATCCATCCGCGGTGAGGAGATGGAGTCAGTTTTGCAAGCAAATGGAAGAACATGGGAGGACGTATGGTTGCACTGCTTGGTCTTCGTCAGGAAGGTCCACCTGGTCGGGGCTGCACCCCCTTCCTTCCCTTCCAATCCATCATGGAAGTGGATGGCCCCAAGCCCCAACAACATCCAGCGTGAGACGTACCTCGCTGGTTCCTGGATAGGCGAGTTTGAGACATACCCCTTTGATGAGAAATCCATCAGACAGGTGGTTTCACTCCACTTCTAGGGAGAACACTCGAGGAAGAACCAAGTGTTAGTATCGTCAGGGCCTGTCCAGAGCAGAAACCTCAGTGTTCTTGGCATTTTTTACTCTTTGCTCCGGGAAGACTCAGGATCGGAAGGTGTGAACACATGCCCAAATCCGCAAGACAGCATCAAGCCAAAACGGCTTTCAGATGTGACCTAAAACCTCCTGGATCATATATTGATTATATTTGATTATGCTTCTTAAAAGACTGTCAAGCCAGCCAACGCATCAGCTCAATACACTTGAGCATAGGCCATTCTTAGCAACAGCAGCTCTGCCGCAAAGCTCGCCATGGATGAGCCACCACCTTGCACCGTCATCGGAAAAGCCGCAGAGCCGGAGCGAGGACCAGAACAGCTGGAAGAGTCTGCAGACAGCTCGGAGGAATACCAGTTGAATTCCTTCGAAGACCCTCAGAGTCAAGGATGCTCAAGGACCTTTTTATGTTTCCCAGGAACAATTTACGGGTAAGCTGGTACTAAATGGCATCAATGAGACACGTGCGATTACCTTCTCTAGATTTGAAACACTAAGTGCCGTTGAATGCAAGACGTGGGATCCAGCAATGACGGTGTCTCCAGCTTCTCTTTCTGGAAAAGATCCAAGGCCTTCCGAAGGTACTGCGTCAACGCCAACATTGCGTTGGTAAGACCAGAGTTCCTGGAACAGCTCTGCCAAGAGGGGCGGGTCTGGCCTCGGCGGCAAGAGGCTGAAGAAATCCCAGGAGTGGCCACAGAGGTCATATTTAGATATTTAGAGTTCACATCATATGCATCCTGATGTTTATCTTTATAGAGAAGTGCCGGATATATGTTGTTGGCCAAACGGGTTGGCGCACATGGCGCTCATAGAGCTTGTGCATCCTCCGTTTTGATTTCAAGTTGAGAGACATTCCAGATATTATGTTGCTTTTATTTATGACAGCCTTCTTCCGCAATGGATCTAATGCATGTTCGACATGGCTGGTTTTGCTTGTAGCAGTTGTACTCAACATCTTGGCCGAATCCCAGCATCATTTGGTTCTTTTGAACAAAGCTGGATTTGGATCAAAGTTTCTCCTTCGTTGGGCCAGCAGATGTTCAATCCGCTGGCGGCGCCAGACTTGGTACGTACCAGGAGCTTTGTACAAGCCTGGGCCCGATGACAAGTTCTCCTTCATTGGAATTTCGCACTGCTGGGAGTCTCGGGAGCATCCCGACCCTTTCGGGTACCAGCCGCTTGAACGTTCAAAATACACGGTATTGTTGAGATGGTTTGTATTTCTTTAGTGTGATGGTAATTTTAGGTTGCTATGGACCGCCAGAAAGCTGGGAACCCTCAAGCATTTATCCACCCTTGAAGCGTTCCAAAGCATCAAAATCCTTGAAATCCTTTCAAGTCCAACCAGTCCGAGGCTCAAAACCATAGTGGACGCGTGGCACTACTGGAGAGAGGCCGACCCTGGACTGTACGGAGACGACAGCACCTACTTCTTCATTGATTACATGAGCTTGCCGCAGTTCAAAAGAAGTGCAGAAGAGCAGACGTGCTTCCAGCGCGCGATGAAAAATATGCACCTGTTCTATGCCTCTTGGAACAGGGTTTTGAAGCTTTGAATTCACCTCACTATGTTCCGTCCTCTCTGGTTTTAGGATTTCTCCTTCCAATCCTGAAATTTTCCCAGCCAGGAAAATGAAGGAATCTAGTGAGAAAAGCATGAGGCCATTGGAACGCCATTTGCATGTGTTTGAAGCCGTTGAGGCGAACAGTAGCGCAATCTTTTGCAAGAGCGTGTGGCGCTTGGAAGACTTGACGCCTGCAGGTGTGAAGAGACAGCACCCCGGTGCAAACTGTGCCCTTTTCACATATTCTTCTGATGTTGCATCATCGACGTTCCTATCGCTCCTCTATTACTCAAACCCTTTTTGCCATTCATTCTCATCTTCAAAATCTGACCTGCTAGCTTTCCAATGCGTTCCAAGACCGCTGAGAGACAGGTTGACCTGGATTTGTAGTCTTTAAAGCAATTTATATAAAGTATATATAAGTCATTTTCTGTGAACCCCTAGTATGTAACAGCATTCACTACATGTCCATTCAGTTGTAGCGGTTCACCATGGGTACATCAAATGATGTATGCCTTTCCGCTACCACATTGGCTCAAGAAAACAAGTGCTCCTGCACGGGTTTTCTTCAGGGTGCCGTGTTGACTGGGCTGTGTCCGGTCGCACCTTCGCTTTTGCTTTGCACTCGCTTCGCTCGTTCGTTCGTTGCTGCCACATCGTTCGTTCGACACCCTGCACTGTCAACCACGGGTACCCGACCGTCCAACCGCCGTGTCTTGGTCCCAGTTGATCGTGCCGCTAGGGATTTAGCTTACCACTTCTACTTCCTCCCGGTAGATAGAATAAGTTGGGCTATCCCTTATCTTCCCAATAATTTGTGGATTCAATTGGTTATCAGCCGTATCGCGCAAGATACGGAAAGGCCCCTTGATCCCATCGCAGCACGCTTCACGCTGCTTCGACGCCCTGGGATGGGCAGGACCAATCCTGCGCCGCAGGATCCGGACGTCGCTTCGTCCAGCACGGCTGCCGCCGCAGCCGCGACGTCCGAAGGTCCCCAAGACCAAGAGGCTGCCGCCTCCCTTGGGGACGTGGCTGGAACCGCGCACAGCGCGGAAGCCACGGGCCAAGAACTTGAGGAAGGTTCAGCCGAACCTCCTCTCGTTCCCCGTGTCACAACGGGTGTTTCGTCATCTCAACCTACCTTCACCCCACCCGGCTCCGAAACCGCCGGTGCGGAGGAGGCTGATGAGGTTGCGCCTGCTGACTCGCCAGCCACAGAGGTCCTTCCAGTCGAGACCAACACGCTTGAGTCGCTAGTTCGACAAGAGCCTGAACCTAATACCCAAGTCCCCAAAGCCGAAGCAGAGCTCCAGACCGGAACCGCTGCTTCGCGCGGAGAGGTCTTGGAAGCTCAGGACGATTCGTTAGGCCATGCTAACGCCGACGAGCCGCCCTTCGATGTCTTTTCGTTGTTAGGCCCACCTAAGATAGAGCCCACCGCCAAGGAGGAAGTAGAGGAAGAAGTGTATGCCGATCCCTCAACCTCCCCTGTGGGTCTACCCCCACTGCATACTCATAATCATCCGACGCAGTTCGAATCATTGGCCACCGATCCGGTCTTTGACGAGGCTGAGGTTGACTTTGGAGACGAAGAGCTAGGCGACGACCTGGATGATTAGGCGGAGCCCGCTCCCAAAGAAGAGCAGCAGGAAGGGGACGAGGCCGACGACGAAACCGCGCCTAGCGCGGAGACATCACAAACCGCTTCCGCAGCCGTGGATCCTCAGCCGAAGCGTACGCGCGGCGCGAGGGGAGGCCAGAAGCATCAATTCGAACAGTCCGACAAGAAGTACGCTCTCACATGTGATCTTATCGCAAGTCACCTGGCGTCGCATACTTACCGTCGGGTTCGCAAAACCTACCACCTACCATTCGTGAAACCGCTGATTGCGCGGAGAGATTACTCCGAATGGTACAAGTATGTTGTGTTCCATGCCGATGCATGGGCCGAGTCCCCCGAAGACGGAGACATTTCCGACGGGGCACTCAAAGCCTGGGCGGCCATCATACCAGAATTCTGGTCATGGTGCACTCGTCACATGCCGGACATCTCAAACGGTGTGAAGCAACCCACCTACCGTTTTCCGCCCGGGTATTACCAAAAGACATACAAATTCATCCCGCTCCGCCAGGTCCACTCCTCAACGGCGACTTCATCGCGGGCAGCCCCGTCTGCTCAGCAAGCCTTCCCTGTCACCGTCCCGGCGCGCACATTCCAGCCCGTAGTGGGTGCAAGCGCTGCCAGTTCGTCAGGAGGCTGGAGACCGCAGTTGAGACCTGTTGATCATCCTGTGCAACCCCGATCCCAAACTCCACAAGGTACTCCAAGGTCTAGGTCCCAGACCCGGACTTCAGAGTCGGTTCGACCTCCTCGACCACCCAGGCCGTGCCCCAGGCCTAATCGTGAAACCGCTGAGTCTCTCGCGGACACGGAACAGCCGACACGCACGGTCCATCTTGCCGACGACATTGAGCAGGCAGATGATCCTATGGTTGGTGTTGGAACTGAGGAGGGAGCACCCGGTCCAACAGGACGACCAAGGCGGAACCGCGCTTGCGCGGGAGGAAGAGGAAGCTTTCGAGCCAGATGTCGTGGTCGAAGTCGAAGGTGATGACTTAGAGGCAGCTCGCACCCGTGCCGCCAACACGATAACCCGAGCCGTAAGGTCCGGTCGACTAGGTCGTGCACTTGCAGCCGCAACTCCCCCTAATCCACCACCTCTAGACCCCGAGTATCTAAACATTCCTCATAGGCCACAGAACTTACCACCTCACGTTAAGCTTCGAAGGCCACCTCCACCGAAAGCAAGCACTCGGAGTCTACCCGTGTCCGCGCAGCCTCCTGCAGCCGACGCTCCGCATCCGGAGCCTAATCAGCCGAGGGTGGCACCGCAACCGCGTCAGCGCGGATTCGTCAGACTCCAACACGCTGCCCGCGAGCCGCCGGCGCAGCCTATTCCGATGGACACAGCTCGTGACTCTGTGTACGACTTGCCTGACCACGTATGGCGAACTCGCCCGACGAGGGAACCCGGCGGTCTGACAGTGCCACATCCAGAGCTATTGGTGCACCCGAACACTGAGGTACACGCCATGGACGTGGACGACGAAGAAAGTCCACCTCGCCCAGCGGCCAAACCTCGAGCAACCGCCCCTTGGCGGCGAGCACCAACATACGCCCTAGAGGCCGAGGAGGCACCTGAAGCACCGGCCCCAAAGCCGCGTGCGCCGGCAAATCCTCCTCCACCTAAGCGCTCTCGTGTCGTCTTTGCAACGACGTCACGGGTTGTGCTGAGGCCTGGTCCCGGCGCTCCGGAAGAAACCGCGCCCAGCGCGGAGCCATCATTTGCGGAGCATACACGGGGTACCGTCCCTCTGGTCGCCCAAAGAGTAGTAACCGGACATAGCTCAGGTGAACCTCCGGCGCAATCCCCTTCGAGGACGTCGGTAACCGTAACGCCACTTGTGGACCCAACTCATCGTACCCCTAATCGTAATTGGGCCGATCAGTCGCTCGATGACGACCTGGACGATGAACCCACAGACTCCGGGGCGGCACCATCCGGTTCTTCGAGATCTAGGACACCGCCACCAAAGCCCCTGGCAGTCAAGCCCCCGCCACAATGCATTCGCGAGGACCCGTCTCAACGTAGACCACAGTATGTTGAGTCAGGGCGGGTTGAAGAGTTCCTTCCTCACGGATTCTTCACAACACCCCCGCCCGGACCTCGAAAGCCTCCACCACCGCCACCACCGGCTCAGGTACCAAAACCTAAGCCGATGCCTGAGCGACCGCCGCGGTCTTCGAGCCCTGCTCCCGCAAACGTCGCACAGGAGGCAACAGGCAGAGGTAGAGGTCACGGGTATCCGCCACCTCCTGCACCTTCCGCAACCGCGCCTCGCGCGGAGGAAGATCCTGCAGAAGCTGCACCAAGTGGCAGTAGCCTTGCGCCCCCAAATCGTGGCGAGCCACCTCCTCCCATGACTCCAGATGACGATTCCCTGCCAACACGGGATCGCTATTTAGAGTTGTGGCAGAACGCCAATCACGTGTTTGATCAGCAGATGTGCGACCCACTCACGTTGACGCCACCCGGTTTGCCCCAGGAGTTGGAGGTCGGCCTTGATTTCCATAAGGTTCTAGATGCAATGCTAGTTCCTAAGATAGAGGTACCGACCCGCCAATGCATTGACGCCCTCATCTCCCTCGAGCGTCTTGGTGCCAGGATCACCATTATATCGTTCACAGGGCACGAAGGCTATTTGCGTGCTGCCTCTCAAACGCAGCATTTCCGAGACTGCGCTCGCGCAGCGGGGCTCCGTATGGGCGGAGGGATATTTTTAACTAATGCTAAGGTTGGCCCTCAGGGCAAGACCCCAATAATCACATCTAACGGCATCTGCGCATACGTAGATGATGACCCAGCCATTTGCAACGAGGCCAGACGCACTGGTTGCTACGTGTACCAATGCGATGCCTCGCGCCTTAACCAGCCGCATTCGGTCCTCCTTGATCTCGCTAACATGATAAGATCAAGAGGCATCCACAACTGGAAGCTGGCACATTTTCCTAAGGCACTGCAATCTGGCGAGTTCTCAGGCGAACCGAATCCACACGGAGGAGGTCGCGGGAGACCAAGGGTCAGATAACCGTCCTGCAAGCCAGTAACCGCTGCCTTGCACGGTCACTTTTCGTTCGTAGGACTGTTAGTTAGGTTGAGTGCAGTGAAACTTCAATCTCAATATCTTCAAGCCATTCTAGTTGAACTTTAGGTTATGCATCCAATTTTCTTTCAGTGCACTCGTTCTTCACCACGCAACAGCTGCCACAAGGCGCTGGAGTGGTCCGGACTCTTTGTGTAGCGCGAAAATAACTGCACCTGCAGTTGGGTGGGAACCATGGCGAACCATACAGGGTTTTCCCCGCCTGATGATCCCCCAGGTGAACGGTCTAGGTCCTCCCCTGAAGAGGTTCCCATAAGTCGTGGTAGAGGTCCTTCATCCAGTACCACTGCACACGCAATGTCCGTCGTCACTCGCCTGAGGGGTTCGTCGCTCGCTGCACCACCGGTCACGCGTCCCAGGACTACGACCACGATGGAGTCTTCACCGTCCACTCCAGAGCAGAGGCCAGCCACTCGTCGAAGACGTTCCGGGTCGGGGAGAGCGTTAGAGGGTATTCGTGAACCTAGTAACGAACAACCCCC